GATTTCTCACTTTCCCTCTCATCGTTTCTGTCTCTCTCCCTAGTGAGTGCAAGCACCCTAGGGCAAAAACTCTTTAAAAAAAAAAGATAGGAGTGGTGAGTGTGGGAGGGGCATGCAGAAGGTAGAGGGGCTTCAGAGGGCAGAGCCCTGTGATCTAGATGGGGTACTTGGGGAAATCCCCAGAAACCACATCCAACCAAATAATGCAGAAGTTTACCAAGTGGCATCACTTTTCCCCCAGACTCATGGCAGGCTGGAGAAAAAGGGGCTGGTCTGTGGCAGGCCGGGCACTGGAAATGGAGCCCAGATCATGCCAAGGAGCAGCAGCGGGGGTGCTGTGCAGAACAGCCCCTGGACACTGCCTGCTGCCCCAGGGGACCATCACCACCTCTCCCTGTACCCTCGGGCCAAGGTCCCAGCTGAGAAAGTGGGACTGCCCAGGGCGGGGAGAGGAAACACGTGTTCCTAGTTTTCTGTAGAAGCCCTTCTCTAGGGAACTCTAAAGCATGTTTGCACACTGAGTAGCCCAAGAATAATAACTAAATTACACTCCACCTGAGCAAGGTGTTGGGGGTGGGTAGGAAGGAAGGGCACTTGCCTTGGAGGGTTGGTGAGGGACTCCGGGAAGTCAGCACTTGGGTTCAGGTTCTCTTGGGAGGGAGGTAACCTTGGACGATGTATGTGAGCATTTCACCACTAAACCTCATCCCCTATGAAAAGTGGGGACCGTACTGTCACCATCCTTAGGCTGTGTCAGGCTGGTGTGTGATCACTTTGATGAGGTGTTTATACTAAGAGCTGCCCGCAGCAAGGAGCCAGGAAGGATGGGCTGTGCTTATTACTCTCATAATAGGAGGAAGGCCTGGCAGAGAGAACGAGGGATGAGGATGATGCTCGGTTCTGTCGGAGCTGCTGGGGGTGGAGTTAAGAAGATGTGGGGAGGTGCGGTCTCCTGGGAGACTCTGGGGGCAGATTACTGGAGGCCTTTGGAGATCCAAGCCTGAGCTTCAGGAGCATGTCCCAGGCTGGAGACAGATCTGGGAGTGCTTGGTGGGAACTGGAGATTGCACGGGAGGGAGGTCCCCCGGGAAACTCTGAGCCGAGCTGAGTGTTCCAGAGGTCAACTAGCTGGAGAAGACCTCAAGGATTGTCAGTGGGGAAATGAGAGGGGGACAGGAAGAGCCTGAGCTCAGAACTCCCAGAAGATTCTGAAACAGGATCTGGGTGCATAAGATTTATTAAGGGGGAAAGGCCTCAGGAATGGAAGAGGCCAGAGATAGAGAGAATGATGCTGAGCCAGGGTGTGACTCGGCTTGATCCATGAGGATAGTCTTGGAGAAGACTTACAATGGGGTGGGGGTGGGGGGGCGCAGGGCAGCCTCGTATCCCACCTCCTAGCAGCTGGCTTATGCCTGTGCCATGCGTGCGTGTTGTGGTTTAAGGGCCTTTTGTCAGCAGAGGGCAGGTCTCCTGAACAGCAGCAGGTGAGCTGCCACAGCCCTCATTTATAGCAGCAGGGACAGGAGTCTAGGAAAGAGAGTCTGGGTGGGGCACCAACATGGAGGGAGGAAGCAATATAGAATGTGATTATTGGACCAGCAGTTAGCGTAATGACTATGTCGCTGAACTTCCATGTAGTCAACTGTGGTTCGAGTCCCAGACCAGGTGGCTTAAACTCATGCCGGGCGCATGTGCGTGTGTGCCCAAGATCCTGAGAGGAGAATGGAGGAGAAGGGATTGCGGGGGGGGAATTTCTCCCCTTCTCTCTCTCTGTCTCTCTCTGTCTTTCTGGCAAGTGCACGCACCCTATAGCAAAAACCTCTCCCCCAAAAAAGGAAAAAAAAGAGAATGTGATTATTAGCAAGTAACGGGGTGTGGTTCTGCAGGGGACCCCTGCAGACCGAGAAGACACGTGTGTGTGTGTGTGTGTGTGTGTGTGTGTGTGAAGGTGTACTTACATTCCATGGGTCTCTGGTCCAAGGCTTTGAGGGTGTGATCATTCTTGCCACCCCTGGGGAACAGAGAAAGAGCCAGGTGGGCAGGTGCAGGGCTGAGCCTTGAATGCTGGGCAGGTGCACAGGTGGGAGGGTCAGGGCAGGGGAATGGACAGAGAAAAACAGTGTCTGCTACCATCACCCTCAAGCATGGTCACAGCGGGAACTGAGGGACAGGCCAAAGAAGTGGGAAGAAAATCAGGAGGGAGCCCCAGGGCTCATCTGGACAGCACTGGGCAAAACGTTTGAGCCGTGAATTCAGCAGGAAAAGGATGGTGCCTGGTCACTTCCTACAGAAAAACCAGAGGTGCCTCTGCTGAGCCTCCTACAGCCTGTCCTGGTCAGCCTGGGCTGGAAAGCCAGGGCACACCCACCCTGCTGGGAGCCCCGAGGCTTGGCCCAGGGAAGTCAGGGGTCCATTTCTGTTTGGCGACAGAGGGGCTGGAAACCTACCCTAGAAAATAATGAGCAGAGAAACCTTTACTGATTAGTTAAATCCCAGATAATCCTGGCTGATGAAGGCAGATCCGGACCCCTTAAAGGATTTAGGGTTCCAAAATGACTCAGGGAGGGGGGCCGGTGAGTGGGGGACGCTGGTGGGGTGGCGCTTCTAGCGTGCAGATTCGCGTGGAGGGGGCTGGGGAAAACCTATTTTCCAGGCCACCAGAGAGCAAAGGCATCCCCCAAACTCCGCCTCCCACGCGGGTGTCAGGGGCCTTGAAGAGTGGGTAGGCCCAGGTCGCTTTCTCTTGTCCACGTCTAGAAAACCGTTAAAGCGCTTCCGCCACTTGGGTGGACACTGAATGAAGTGCCAGTTTCTCATGGGGTCTCACAGCTGCACCCCCTGCACCCCCACCCCTAGCGGCGAGGCTATGAGCTGAACCGGCGAGGCTATGAGCTGAACCGTGCAGCAGCATAGGGTGCGTGAGGAGACCCTCCATACTAGGCGGCACTGGGGGTGGGGGCGCAGATTCTCGCATCACCAGTGGTGTGACAGTTTTCACTGGAAAGATGGCAAAGTGGCCTCCCACGCTGTGCTCCGGACCAAGGAAGGGAAGGTGCCCCAGAATCCAGCTTGCCTCCTCGTGGGGGCCTGCTGCTGGGGCGGGAGGAGGCGTTAGGGACTCCTTGTTTCAGGAATTACCAGGCCCCCTGAGAGCCCCACCCCCTTGGTTTGAGTCTCCTGAGATCCTTTGCCCTGTGTCTCCCTCTGTTCTCTCCTCAGCTCTCTCCGTGTCAGAAGTGACCGGGTTGGTAGGTCTGTTTCTCGAAGCCTGTAAGAGGGGTTTGGTAAGATCCTTCCCACCTGGCTGGAAACCCGATTGCGCGTGGCCCTGCTGTGTGACGTGGCTGTGGTTGTGCCTCCCCCTTCATTCTTTTGTTCCCTGTCCACCTGCTTGGGTGCTGCTGTCTCTTACCTCCTGGTTCGCCAGGGAGAAGCCGGAAAGAAGGCCCCAAGACCCTGGCCAGGTGTGGTGCTTGTCTGCTTCTGCCTCTTAGACTCTCCCTTTGCAGGGATCCGGTGGGACACATTAGAGCCTGCTGCGTCCCAGGTTGCAAAGGGCTGGAATCTTAAACATCTCCCTAAATGGCAACCCACGAAGTGGGTTTACAAAGACTTGTGCTGCTGGGCAAAAAGCAGGGGAAGCAGGTGCTATACCCCTAATGTCTTCACTTACACATACACATTTGGGGAGCTTTATCTGGGGGAGCCGAAATGGGCATGGATGTCTGAAGCCCCACTCAGAGCGACTCAAAGGACAGTGAAGCCAGAGGAAAGTTATTGTTCTGCTAATCCGGGGAGCAGCTTGCCCAGGGGGATTTGGGCCTCCCTTTAATAATGGAAAGTTAATGCGCAGCCTCTCGTAATTATCTTCATTGGAAGCCCCCGTTTAATCTGGACGTTTAGCAGCCAGCGGGAGACCCACTTTGGGCTTGGCCGAATCAACTCTGGGAGCCTGCTCTTGCCCAGGCGGCCTCGCCTGGCCTGGCTCTGTTGGGACCTGGGGGAGGGCCTGACTGCTGTCTCCGGTTATGTTCCCTACTTGGGAAGAGCACAGGGCTCCAGCGGTGAGGTTGGGTGGGTTCAAAGCCGAGCCAGGAGCGCCTTACCCACACCCACGTGCTTTGTTAGACAGGAACTTTGACAAACACCAGCGAGTGCTTCACTTGAAAATCAGGCTCTCTTTGGATAATCACAAAAGTGGACAATAATCTGTTAGCCCTGGTAAAGGGGCCACGCCTGAATACACAAACCCTCTTTTATCCTAGTTTATCTCCTGCCCCAGGGCTGCTGCCTGAACGTGGTCCATATTTGTACTAAAGTCTTCATTGTTTATCTGAGATTCAAATGTCACAGGGCCCCCGTGTTTTTGATAAGCCTAGAGCCCTGCCCCATCCTCTTAGCCTTAGCCCTGTCCAGTCCACTCCTGCCTCTACCCCTGTCCTTCCCTCAGCTCTCCCTTCAGGCGCCCTTAAGGTCTGGGGAGTGGGTCCCGGCAGGAGTGCAGTGGTTACTTCTTGCCTTTGGGGCCTCTCCCCCTGTGGCTTTCTGGGAAGGTCTTCCTGGGTCCGCAGTGGAGTTGGAGGGCTGGCTGGTCATAAGGTGGAGATGTGGCTGGAAATGGGCCCTAGGTCTCTATGGTCCTTTCAGGGAGGCTTCAGGGCCTGGGGGCATGGGGCCTTCATACCCAGATGTGTCCCTACCCTTCTCTCCCCCTACCCGAGAATGGGGGTGGACTGGGCAAGGGGACAGCTGGAGAGAAGAGAGAAGGAGGTGGCTGAGGGGACTGCAGCTGCGGGGGCGGCGACCAAGGGGAGGGGAACTGGTGGCGTCGCTATCTCTTGGGGTCCGGAGCTGAGCGGTGACGCGCCCGCGCCAGGCTGATTGGAGTACATCTTGCCTTCTGTACCCGACCGGCAGCCCAGTCGTATAAAGCGTGTTCTGAGCTGGGTCCCCTCCGCAGAGGGGACCCAGAGAGGGTCACGCCTGCCAGCTGAGAAGCCATGACCGGCCGGGATGCGCTCTCCGACGGGCGCGCCAGGAGCAGGGCGCTGGTGCCAGGCGGTATTCCCACGAGTTCGCGCCCCCGGGGTTTTGCCATCACCGACCTGCTGGGCCTGGAGGCCGAGCTGCCTGCTC